GAGATGATTTTACAAAGAAGAATTCTTCATAAAGTAAAGAACTTTTTGGACAACAGTAAGCATCATCTTCATCAGATTGTTAAACAACAACAACGGTGTCTGCAGTAAGAGGATTCTCTAGATCCGGTGCAAGACAGACAGCTATAGAAGATCCTTCCAGCCTACAGCTGTCAACACACACGTTGAAAATATCCCATGAGTTACTGTAACATTTAATTTCCCTTTTGGATTAACAGATGGTTGAATTGAATTGAATTAAGGCAATTTACAAACAACTCGTGTCTCAAATAAAAGCCATTGCCAATGTCTTTAATTTCTGGCCTTTAAGTAATGCCTGAAATACCATGACTTGATGTCTTCTCATCTTTGATCTTTAAATAAGCAAATCAATAATACAATAATCTGTCCTTAGATGTTAAAGTACAATTAGTTTATTTTGCAAAACATTAGTCAGCCATAACATTTGACAATAAAGCTTTTATTCACTGATATAATTTCCAATTTTGCATTGTTTAAACATGTGGTGTAGCTGCAACTCCAGTCTATATTTCAGCTGTGTTGGTGCAATCCTTCTAACTTTATCAATCAAAGAGACATATTGTCATTGACACATATAGATTGCAGCTCAGTGAAACTTCTCCTGGAGTAGAATGCGTGATATTGATTCTGAACCTTAATCTTAGTGAGGATCACTGAACTGTAGGACCTCATGTAACTCTAAATGAGAGCAGCTCTACGTACAGCACTGTAGTCTCCATGAGCCCAGCTATTTTCCAACCAAACTGATCAATATTCAATTCAGTGTCCTTTTCTTAGCTGGTCAATCTTGTCTCCATATTGCTTACCTAAAGAGGAAAGTATCTAGTTCTTAAGTATATCAAATTAAAAGGGATCTTAAAGTGATGGTAGTCCTATTTTGTTGTTTGCCTAACAGATTATGAGAGTCACACTGATGTAGGAGTAATAACATTTTGAATTGGCTTTTTTATTTTTTTTTTTGCAAATTCACACTAATTTTAGTTATTTGTTATGTTTGCTGTAATGCAAATGCAAGTATTGTCTAAATGTAAATATTTTTTAACCAAACACTTGAATATTTTTTTGTGAACCCTGGAATGTAGGTTTCAGGACATCTAACAGCCTGAGCAATTAAAGCACATAACGGTATGCTTTTGTCTGGAGTCAGTCAGGCATTCTTTTTCACACCATTTGATTTTGATTGAAAGAGTCTGATCCTTTGTAGAATAAAGTGTTGCTTCTGGTTCTGTTCCTCCCTTTTTTGTACCTGCAATCAGACTATTCTTTACCTATGTACTTGAAATATGGCAAATGTAATTGGTTTTCATTGTAGTTAAGTGTTTTTCTTTGTGGCTATGATTAGTCATAAACAAGCCATATCTCATTTAACTAAATGCAGTTATACAATATTGTGAAATTTTATAGTCCTCTTTATATTGGTTCTGATGCCATATTGAGCCAAATAACTAAGCAGCTTTCTTATGTTATATCTTATTTACTGCAGTTGTATGATCATGTTAACTTTTAAGTAAACTATGAATAGAGTATAAAAAAAACAAAAACTATTTATTTCCTTCTGTTAAGGCAGGTAAAAAGAAAAAAATTCCTCAGTTTCAAGTAATGCATGGTTAAATCTAAATCTACATAATGCCGGTGAAGATTCTCAGTCAGGTCAGGTCATAGTCATTCCAAAAAAGTAAAAACAAAAAACAAAACAATCCACTGGACTTGATTTCCAAGTTTGAAGACGTTTCGCTTCCCAATGCTAATTGTTGACAATTTGCATTAAAAAAAGCTTTCTGGATGGGAAGCGAAACATCTTCAAACTTGGAAACCAAGTCTAGTTGATTGTTTTTTAATTTCTAAATGTACAAACTGACCAAAAACTGCAAAAAGGCAAACTGACTGCATGCTCATTGAGGCTTTTCGGGTCTTTAGGTGGGACTATGATGTTTTGTGGTTATCTGAACAAAATCCAAAGGGTTACATTTACCCAACACGCACACACACACACACACACACACACACACACACACACACACACACACACACACACACACACACACACACACACACACACACACACACACACACACACACACACACACACACACACAAACAAAAACAAAAAAAAACATTACATTGAGAACCCTTAAGCTAATTTTTTTGTTATACACTGAAATGTTTTAATCAGAGTACAGTAGGTTGGATTTTAGAACATGAAACTTTTATTTTTGTGTTCATTGCTATCTAAGGCGAGCTCTTTCCATCTAGCTAATCTATCTTGGCATCCACCACCAGTGTTACTTCTACCTGCTGCAGTTAAAACACATGATCACCCTTTGAGAGACCTCTTGATAAGAGCCGGGGTAAAAAAGCTGTGAAAATGAAGACGTTTCTTCTAATTTCACACTCTATGCTTGATCGTTAGGCTCTTATTATGCCCCATTTGCTTCCCTCCACTAGCTGTGATGAAAGGAGGGCAAAAAGGCCATGACAGGACAAAAGAGGGCCCTTCATCAAAACACATTTTGTTTGGGGTCTCTCTCTCTTTTTTTTTTTTTGTCCAACTCAACCCTTCCCCCACATTTCTGCCAACACGTTTTTCTGGAGTTTCCACTCGCCTGCATCCCTCATTAGCAGCCTCCCCCACCTGCCTCCACATTCATTTTATTAAACTGCGATTGTTCAACGCTCTGTGCTCATCAGAACAGGCTGTCCGCTCTCATTTAATTGGCCCACAGCTTCCCCACTGCTCCTCAACAAGTGGGGAGGTCGATGGCTGCCTATGACCTGGGACACTGGTGTCTGTCAGTTGTGGCCAAAAGACAGCCTTACCCTTAAACCCAACATCATAAGCAGGCAAAACAAACATGCACCCATGTCTTTGCATTGAAGTACACTGTGATGACTTTAAGAAAAAAAGCTCAAAGTAAATCAAATTTTAAATTAGTAGCCATTTTACTCTTTAGATTCCATTGATACTTTCTAATGTGTTAACATTTTATCTTAATATCTTTTAAAATAAGTTAAATTTTAAAATAATATTTTAATTATATTTGTGCATATTTTGATGTCTATAATGTAAGAAAACTTGTTAGGCAAAAATAATCTGGATTTTTCTTCTTTTGTGGCATATGATATCCGTGTTTAGGCTTGTATTTGTAAAGGTCTAGGTCAAGCCAAGCATCCCAGTAGCCATAATTAAAAGCGGTGTGGGATTTGAGAACTAAAGCTGTTCTAATTAGTCAGAGTGTTTAATAGAATGCATGTTTGTAACAAGAGGGGTGACTTTCTTCACCCAGCCCGTCAAAATCTGTCAAAGTCCTCACTAAGTGGGCACTAATTTGAGAAATTATATCAGCTGTGAAGTGAAGAGTGAAGGGGAGCGAAAGTAGAGGCTGGACTGCAAATGCAAAATTGTTCAGCGGATGAGAACAGATATTTTTTTTGACTTGGCTGAAATGCTTAGGTCGAGGTCATGACCTGCAGTGGTGTTTGGAGAGCACAGTGTTAAAAGCTGTTCTGATTCATGGCCAAAGCAGAGGTTTTATCTGGACTGCACTATCACAGTGAGAAGTCACAATGACATGCAGAATATCTGGACTCTAGTCAAGTGTTGCTGAATTCTTTCATTCAAAGTTGGATTCTGAGAGTCTCATCAAAGAAACATTCTTCAAAATATAATGTAAAAAAAAAATCATGAAAAATTGTTATAACAATAAAGGTTTTAAGATTCAGATTTCTTATACATTTTTGTTATTCATCCAGCAATACTTGTTGAATGTTATATATGAAAAATATTTCTTTATATTAATGAGGTCAGCTTGCAGCCAATGAAAACCACAAATGCTGTTTCTCAGAAATTTAGAGAAAAAAAAAAACTTTCCCCCTTCTGAAAAATATGTCTATGCATAACCTATACTACTTAATGCTATAGTATATACACTCTAAACTGTAGCTTCAGATTCTTAAGACCTTGATTTGTAAATACTTTACAAAATTTTGCTTGATTTGAAAAAGAATCATAGGTAAACCAAGAAACAGTCCATTCCTTTTTGCCAAGGTAGAACAGTTCTTCTCTCCAGTTTAGATGTACCTTAACCAGTAACAGTTCTAGCCTATGTTGCTTTGGTGGTTGTTGGAGTAAAGACTCCAGCTGCAGTTCTAACCTTGTTAATATCCCCAAATTGAATGTGCTTTGCTTTACAGTACTCTTAAGGCTGTCGTTATCCTTGAAAAACTTATTAAACCTCCCTTTTTCCTTCTAACTTTCAGTTGACGTGCTTGGATACAGCACTATCATTAGCCAGCTTCTTTAGCATTGACCTAATGGGCTTACGTTCCTTGTGGGGGATGTCATGATCCTTTGGTAAAGAACGCAGTGTTCAAACTTCAATCTACAACATAAATACTCTTGAAATATATCTCATGTATTTTTAGATCTGTCTCCTTAAATTTAATAATAACTATTGTCACGTTCCTTAAATTCTATGGTATATTGGATGGGACTGATACTAAACAATTATTCTGACTAATAGATTAATAAAATATTTGGCAACTATTTCATTTTTCAAATAATTGTTAACTTGAAAAAAAAAAAAGTCATTTTCTGAAAGAACGACCCATTCAGAGCAGTAGGTGCTCCATGCAAAGTGTCATGTGTCCTATTATGGGCTGTGCCTACTGCATCATTGCAATATGAGTCAATTTTTAATCAGAATATTGCAGTAAGAGGTGTAGTGGCAGTAATCAACTTTATTACAGATTCTCCTTAAAAAAATTCCTAATCTCAAGTAGAAAAATATATAGTAATTACTTTTCATCTCATTTGTACCTAATTGAATGGATCTGGATACTGTAACTGTTTTACTTAATGATAGAGCATTAACTTTCTTCCATAAGTTCAGTTCTGTGATGCAACATTAAGAATTACTCATAAGAAAAATGTTAATTTGGTGTTTTTTCCTGTCCCTCAACAGTGGGAGGAGGTGAGCGGTTACGACGAACATATGAACACCATCAGGACGTACCAGGTCTGTAATGTTTTTGACAGCAATCAGAACAACTGGGTACGGACAAAATACATCAGGCGTCGTGGTGCTCAGCGGATCCACGTGGAAATGAAATTCTCTGTTAGAGACTGCAGTAGCATCCCTAATGTCCCGGGCTCCTGTAAAGAAACTTTTAACCTTTATTACTATGAATCAGATTCAGACACAGCCACCAGAACTTCTCCAGCATGGATGGAGAATCCCTGGATCAAAGTTGACACCATTGCAGCAGATGAGAGTTTCTCCCAGGTTGACCTTGGAGGCAGAGTGATGAAGATCAACACTGAAGTGAGAAGTTTTGGCCCTGTGTCAAGAAATGGTTTTTACTTAGCCTTTCAGGACTACGGAGGCTGCATGTCGCTCATTGCAGTCCGGGTCTTCTACAGAAAGTGTCCTCGGATTATCACTAACGGGGCACTGTTTCAGGAGACTCTATCAGGAGCAGAGAGCACCTCGCTGGTGGCAGCAAGGGGTGTTTGCATCCCGAACGCAGAGGAGGTGGATGTTCCCATAAAGCTTTACTGCAACGGAGATGGAGAGTGGATGGTACCCATTGGGCGCTGTATGTGCAAAGCCGGGAATGAGGCTGTGGAAAACGGAACTGTTTGTAGAGGTATGTTGTGGCATTGTTTTTGCTATCCTTTTAAGTCCAATGATTCACTTTGATCTGCCACCATGAAGGAGTAATCCCACCAGGCAAGGAGTCTATTTATGCTACGTGTGGTAGCAGACCTTAAGCTGTTCAAAGAGCTTATTCGTTGAGATACAATAGTGTTATAAGGTCATGCATCAAAATATGATGAAAGGTATAAATTCTATTCATCGTTTATTTAACTGAAGCCATCATCACATTTCCATAACAATACCTTAATCCCCTCTGTTTGCTATTTCCCAATATAAACACACTGTGAAATATGGGTTTTCTTTTGATTTTCCCACAATATTTTATGGGAACAGGGCTCCCAGACCCATAACACAATGACATAGCTTTGTTTGGAACGTGTGATAAGTCTTAGTTTTTTCCTAAAATTAAACTGCTATTGCCACTGTTCAACCTCTTAGGTCGTCACAAAAATAGATTTAAGACAAACTATTGCAGAACTAAACAAGCTCACATTATAATATAAAAATAATGTGACATTAAAATGGCTCTGTTTATACTCTTTATCTGGAAAATCAACATTGGTGGGGGTTACTCTTTAAAGAAACACCCATCTTCTTCTGACTATCCATCAGGGTCTTGATGGAGCTTGTTCCTATCTCCAGATGGGATACATCCTGGACAGGACAACACAGAGACACACGCACACACACACCCACTCACGCACATGCACACACACATACCTAATTTGGAGATGTCTATAAACCTAAAAGTCATCTTTTGGACTGTTGGATGAAGTTGGAGTTGGAGTAGAGAACCAATGCATGCCCAGGGAAAACATGCAAACTCTATGCAGAAGGATGCTAAGCTAGCAATCAAATCCAGGATCTTCTTGCTGAAACACTGTTTTTTTCCGTCAACATGCCATTCCCATCAGCAAAAAAATGGACAGAAAAGCACCAGAAAATGTTCTCCTCCACTTATTTAAATGGACTGGAGATTTTTCACTGTCATTAGGAACCGCTTACAGGAAAATTGATCAAGCTTTTTAAAGAATCGATGGAGCCAGCATTTATCTGCGCCTTGGCCTATCCAAACTTTAGCAGGTGGTATCTGGTCATTGTAGTTAGAGATCTTGATCACTCAGCACAGCACCACATGCATAGCTTGCAAGCCGGAGTCATGCTGATCCATCCCAGAACCTCATACCCCCACCTGTGCATCTGATTGGTTTATTCCTGCCTCTCACGTATGAGCCTGTAATTACAACTCATCCCCCAGTGTCCGTATGCTGGGAGGGAAAACATGATGGGTGCTGCATAACAAACACTGCTGGGCACGTTCAATGAGTACTAAAAAGGATGTACGCAAGAAGAAGTGCAGGAAGATTTCGCGATATAATATGAAGATAATATGTCCAGAAAAATTGAATGTAGGGAATGTAAAGATCCCAAGAAGGACAGCTAGTTTGTATTCCAGACTTGGCAAGGCAAGTTTTTTCTATTGGCACAATTTAAACAAACATATTGTACAGAGATGCAAATTTAAACCATAAGTAGACAGACAAGATATTGAAGTCACAATGTAGTCTTTAACATTTATGGTAAAGCTGCAGTAAAAAAAAAAAAAAAAAATTGTTTTTTTCTATAAGAAAAGCCAACACCTTCTGAACATCTCAGTTTATGTTTGAACTGGTCTGAAATCCTGATACTTAGTTCTAATCATCGGAGCACTAAATGAAAAGGGTTTGATCAGCTTATATAGGCCCACAAGGGGAAATGCATTTAGGAATAATTTTCCTTTTGATCAGTACTGTTTTAAAGACACAGATTTTTACATTTAGAGAACTGGTGCAACCTTTTCATAAAAGTAGTCATGTATGATTTATTTTACTTGTGGTATAAAAGACTCTGGCCGTAGCATTATAGCAATACAGTAATTGAATGGAAAGAAAACCGAATGATTAATCCGGTTTTCTGTACTTTTTTGACAGAAAGCCTTTCTCAAATGTAAATATGATTATGTAAGTAGATGAAGCCCCTTCAATCTCATATAACCTGCCCATATTTTTTGATACTTAGTTTAAAAAAATTAAAATAAACAAAACTAATGATATGATAATCAAAAACGTCACAAATTCATAAAAAACACAAATAATGCGACAAAATTAATAATTATATAAAAAAAAAGTACTTGAAGATTGTATTTTATTTCTTTTAGTTCTGCATATTGTAACATTATTAAGATGTTAATAGGAATCTATATTGTACAATGCAAAATGTTTTGCATTATAAGATATATATATATTTTTTTTTTGTACTAAATGTCAGAATAATTGATTTTGACTCGAACAGAAAGCAAATATAAAGAATATACTAAGGCTAATATTATTCTGGTGGCTCTCTTTGATGTAAGGCATAGCTTGTTCGCTCTTCAGTCAGCTTCCTAAAGATGGAAAACTGATACCGGTTTTTTAAAGCTGTGGTCAACCACCACCTTTCAGCTGCAGGAGGTTGGATAATAAATTGATCTGTGAAAGATGTTTTGCCTTCCAATAATATAGGGTAATGAATTGATTTATGAGAAGTGCCTTCAAATTGTTTGCAAGATATCCTCTTTCATTGTGAAAGTATTATGCCCCACCAACCCACAAAGGAGTAAAGATGCAGACGCTGTTGCTACTGTATATTTCAGTTGATGCTGTGTTCCAACAATTCCAACAAAACATGTAATTATGCATGTAACAATTAAACTGCTGGCAGGGATTTTGACAAATAATTATGCTGTCATGAAACCTGTCAAAATATTGATGGCAGAAGGTGGTGCTCACATCAAATTGCAAAGGTTTTTCTTTATTTTCTGCACTGTCTTACAAGTGAGATTAAGTTTCCTCTTTAAGAACTGCAGTGAAAGCGAGGAACCGTGCAAAAGCCTTTCAGCTTTCAGCAGAGACAGTCCTAAAAAGACAGATCTAATTTCCCCTTAGAGCTTTGTGGAGATGGTTCACCACAGAGACACATCAGGTTCTCTTTGCCTTTGCTGGTTTCTTCAAATTGAATAGCGTTCCCCTTATTTGGGCACAACGAAGGCAACGTCCTTGGGTGGAATGGCAACCTCCCCTAACAATACCCATGTGTCTTTTAGTGTAAACTGATCATCTAACCCCATGCTATTGTGAGTTTAAGGGTCCCAAATGTGGGAGTGTGGCTGATGTTATTGAGCAATGAAAGTTTGGAAGCAAACTGTCACAGTGGTAACAACAACTTGATTCATTTCTTGGATAAAGGAGAGGCTGTTTCTAAGAAGAAATGGGAGAACCGTCACTAGAAATATTATTTGTTTAGCCTTCCAGCCCATGGCTAAAGGACCCAAACATAATTTGATAGAGCACGAAACACTTTTTAAAGTAAGGGCAATAAGATCTGGTGGACTTTTAAGATGAAGATAATTAGGTCATTTTTATAACAACTCTATAACCTTTTTATAATTATATCAGAAAGAAGTTTAGTTAAATAGTTACAAATGAACTCTCCTTATGCATGATGACCACAACAAGTGAATAATTTATTGTGACACATGGTATTGGTTGGGATGTTGAAAGCAAAAACTTTGTCCTCAGAGCTTCTTGTTATAGGTAGGGAAACCCCACCAACAAAGTTAAGAATTTCCACAAAGCTGACAGGAAGATGCAAAAGAAACACCAATACTGTAATATATAGTGTCTGATCCTCTTACATGACCTTTCGTCTTTAGATTCTAGGGCTGGGCGATATAGAAAAAAAGCTTATCGATAAAAAAAAATGCATATTGATCGATATCGATAATTATTGAAAAGATTTGAAACCATATTTTATGTGCAGCTCTGCCTTGACTTTTATAATATTGCTAAATGATTTAATTTTAATAAAAAACACAAACACAGACTTCGAATTAAATCTTTATTTAACCAACTTTTTTAACCATAACAGAATTGTTTTAAAGAAAAATAACTTAAGAGACCTGGATTATGTTATTAAATACTGACAAAGAATAAACTATAGTGACCAAAATAAATATAACAAATAAATAAATGCCCCCCCACCGCCGCCGCCGCCCCCGTTTCCTGCTTTAACCTGAGTTATTACTTTGAAGTTTCTGGCCCCTCAGCATTTTTATCTCAATTGTTAGAACTACGTGGGAAACTGCCCAGAACTGAAAATATATATATATTTTCCGAAGATTCCTCGGAGGAGAGCCGCGTCGGGGCCTACACAGCTCGTACTCCTGCGGGTGTGAGCGGCTGAGAGAGACGATAAAAAAAATAAAAAAAAAGTTGGTTGTGTTATCAGACTTCGTTTTCGCTGGTTCCCGACACATTTTCCAGATGACTGTGGTTTGTTTTTGGTCCAACTTGCCATGACCGAAATACTGCCAGACTGCCGAACTACAAAAACCTTTCTATTTCAATTTCCTCCGCCTCTCCTTGCTGCATCTTCATGTGCTCTGTGTTGTGGTTTGAGAGGGCGGCGCTTGGTGACGTCGTGCCTGGGTCCACGATTGTGATTGGTTGGGAGGAAGCAGTGACTAGCATAAACCTACATGCTAGGCTACAATGAGAAGGAAGGAAAACTGCGTTTCTTTTTTATCGAACTTTTATCGACCCTCTTTTTTTCTATTGCGCCACACGTCTATCGATCGATTTATATATCGTTATTGAATTATCGCCCAGCCCTATTAGATTCTATCATACACTTAACACCCTTTTGTTTTAAGCTCTTTCTTTCAACTTATCCATCCTTCGTAATTAGAAATACCGCTGTAAAATGGTTAAGTCTTGGTTGTGATGCTCTTTAGCTGTCTGTGTGTCGTGTGAAGTATCTCAAGGTCAAAGCATTAATCCTTTGAAACATGAGACATTCAGTCTTATGGTTAAGTATGCATCAGTTCTAGCAAGTGCTGTAGTTTTTTTTTTTGTTGCACCAGATTAAATGGGTTAAAAGCAAACTATTCAATATTTCTTGAATCAAATGTGG